TCGTCAGTATTTTGTGTATAAGATTTTTCGCGGTGTTGATTTTATATTTTCTTGGTTGGGAGGAGAGATAATTGATCAGGCGTCCAGACGACATTGGTTTCGAGTACCAGTTTAGAACAATATTGTTGTTGTTTTTATGTATACGGACATCAAGGAAAGGTATGCTCGCGTTTTCTTCCATTTCCATGGTAAACTGAAGTTTTGGGTGGTATTTGTTTAGCGTCTCTAGAATTGTATTCACGTCGTTGCGGTTTGTTATTGCAAAAATATCGTCTACATATTTGTTGATAAACTTGATGTCAATGTTGAAGTGTTGTTTCAGCTCCGAGATGGTGTTGTCCAGAAGGTCGTCCATAATGATGTCGGCAATTGTCGGTGAGAGGGGGTTGCCCATTGGCATTCCAAATGTTTGGGTGTATAGTTTGTTATTGCACATGAAGTAGTTATTATCTTTAAGGCAGAAGTCAAGAATTTGTTGGAATTTGTGTTTTGGAATGCTGGTTGTCCGTTGTATCTGGTCCCACTTTTTCATAATAATTTTTGTGGCTAACATTGTCGGTATATTCGTAAACAAGGAGATGACATCGAACGACACTAAAACATCTTCATCACATACACTTATATTCGTTAATATCTCTTTCAAATTAAACGCATTCTTCACATTGTATCTCTCTGAAATCAATGGCTTGAGTATTTCTCCGACATATTTGGATAACTTGTAACATTAATCTCGGAAGGCCTGCCGATATATTGAACATCGTTTTTTTTTTCCAACAAAAACAGCAACACTAGTACAAGATGAAGGACTATTACAAACATATGAAGTATAAACACGGCGAGCATACATGCATCACACTGAAACACTACAGTAAACAAAAACACAAATTAGCAAAACAGATGGAGCAGCTTAAATTTCTATTGCGATGCAAACAATACGGGCTAATGCCAAATTATCTGACAAACTAGATCAAAAATCTAAAAATCAATACAACTTCAGAGAAAATAAGGAAACAGGTGGAAAATTCAAAACGACTATGTCTCACAAAAATATTAAATATCGAGATAACACAAACAAATATTAACATCAAAATAACAAAAGATCTATTATTGCATACACAACCNTCGATCAAAAATCTAAAAATCAATACAACTTCAGAGAAAATAAGGAAACAGGTGGAAAATTCAAAACGACTATGTCTCACAAAAATATTAAACATCGAGATAACACAAACAAATATTAACATTAAAATAACAAAAGATCTATTATTGCATGCACAACAACAACTAAAAGTCACTTTAAGTAGCTCAGAATTCGACGCGTTCATCAGCAAGCAGAACGCCCAAAGCCAAAAAACTGCGAAGGAAAAAGAATCAATACTCACATCAAAAATTGAGAGTCTTAAACACGAACAAATGCGGAAGCTGGGAACACAAAAGAACAACAATTGGTTCGTGAACAAAACGAACGTCAAATTTCCCGAAGAGGTAAGGTGGCTACTATCATGTACACTTTACCACAGTTTTCGTTCTCTTTGCCCTTACATTTTATTTCATAAACAACGTTGTTTTGTTGCTGTATGTCTAGTGGGCTTTTTGTTCTTGTGTAGATTCTAGCTAACGTGTTATTTGTTTTGTAGGCGAGAGTTATGTTTTGTTCCTTTAATGTGCTGTGATCAAAGTTTTCGCTTAGCTTGGGGATGTAAGTGACGCTGTAGTACTTTTTTGGTGTATTTGCTGTTGCTGTGGTCGGCGTTTTATTTTGCTGATTTCCTATTCGCATTGTTTCTTGTTTTATTAGTTCGCGTATCAGGTGATTGGGATAATTAATTGTTGCTTTTCAAAATGCTGTGTATTTTGTCTATGTTGGCTTCGTGAAATTTTTGGTCGCTTATCGTCAGTATTTTGTGTATAAGATTTTTCGCGGTGTTGATTTTATATTTTCTTGGTTGGGAGGAGAGATAATTGATCAGGCGTCCAGACGACGTTGGTTTCGAGTACCAGTTTAGAACAATATTGTTGTTGTTTTTGTGTATACGGACATCAAGGAAAGGTATGCTCGCGTTTTCCTCCATTTCCATGGTAAACTGAAGTTTTGGGTGGTATTTGTTTAGCGTCTCTAGAATTGTATTCACGTCGTTGCGGTTTGTTATTGCAAAAATATCGTCTACATATTTGTTGATAAACTTGATGCCAATGTTGAAGTGTTGTTTCAGCTCCGAGATGGTGTTGTCCAGAAGGTCGTCCATAATGATGTCGGCAATTGTCGGTGAGAGGGGGTTACCCATTGGCATTCCAAATGTTTGGGTGTATAGTTTGTTATTGCACATGAAGTAGTTATTATCTTTAAGGCAGAAGTCAAGAATTTGTTGGAATTTGTGTTTTGGAATGCTGGTTGTCCGTTGTATCTGGTCCCACTTTTTCATAATAATTTTTGTGGCTAACATTGTCGGTATATTCGTAAACAAGGAGATGACATCGAACGACACTAAAACATCTTCATCACATACACTTATATTCGTTAATGTCTCTTTCAAATTAAACGCATTCTTCACATTGTATCTCTCTGAAATCAATGGCTTGAGTATTTCTCCGACATATTTGGATAACTTGTAACAGGGTACCATGACTGACGAAGCAATGGGGCGTAAAGGATCTTGCGGTTTGTGAATTTTCGGCAGGCCATATAGCCTTGGCGCTGCAGCTGCGGTGCTGGTGAGAAGCTGCTTTTCCCTTTTGTTTATGTGTTTGGCTTTGTAGAGCTCATCAACTATTTTATTGTTTTTTCTCTGCAGAGTGCTCGTTGGGTCTGTTCTTGAAGTTTTGTATGTGTTTTTGTCTTCTAGTAATTTGTTTATCTTTTCAATGTATTCCGATTCGTACATTGCTACTGTCTTATTGCCCTTGTCAGCATCTGTTATAACAATGTTTTTGTGGGATCTCAGAAACGCTTTTGTTTGGTTAAATGCAGCTAAAATGAATTTTTCGGCAGAGTTGTGTTTAATATTTCGCTTGAACAGTAGAATTCTGTTGCTCAACTTATTTCTCGCTGTTTCTTTCTCCTTTTCGTTTTTTATCCCCATGATTATTTGTTCCATTTCTGCTAT